ACCTGAGTGAGTCCATCCTAGCTTAAGGAGATTCTGGAATGTAAGATTTAGCAATTCAGGATAGAGAATGTGGCTTCTCTTATGATAAAGTCCTGCAGGTAAGAAAGAGATTTGGACATAATTGGACCAGAAACCCCTCTGAGCCAAAGCATTTTGGGTAGCATTGTCCAACCAAGTCTTCAAAATCTCTATCTTTCAAAACATCAAAGGTTTTCCTGCCCTGCTCTGATTGATCTAGGAGAATCCTGATTATGGAACTCAGTCATGGGAATTACAACTGGCCTTTCCTCTGCCATATTTTAAATGACAACTGAAGCCATCCCTATTCACCAGTACTCCTACTGAGTTACAACTGTTTTAAGAGCTACCTCTTTTTAGAATGGTTTCGAAATGAACTTTGTTTTAAGGGTTATATTCTAGTGGTTTAGTTTTTATTAAAGATTTTTTTTCGTTGTTTTTCACACACCATTTTGGGAGGACACGTAAAGTGAAAATAAATACGTAGATCATTGTCTTCATTAGGATTGTGGGAAGAAATGCAAGCAATACTTAGTAGGTTGGACTTCTTTCAGCTACCCAATAATTTGGATTTCATGTGGTAGTAGATGCATAATCCAATTTTACTTGCTTTATAATCTAACGGTACTTTGTTTAACCTCACAAGAGTGTTGAAGGTTGGCTGTGTGTATAAACGTTGATTATTACATTGAGGTCTTGATCCCATCAGGAAAAGCCCTCACCTTCCATTATTCATGATACAATAGTCATCCCATTTCTAATGAAATGTATATACTTTCTCTACTTTCCCTAATAAGAAAAGAGTGGAGCAGAGAAAAAAAACTTCCAAATCTGCAACATACAGCCTTTGTTATAACATGGATTAATTTATTCTCTTATCAACAGGCAATCTAATTCACTGAAGGCCCTTCTCCCTTGTTAAATTCAATTTAACCCTTCTCATATAAAATCAATTGCAATCAACCTGCCCTGCACCTCACAAGTAGGAACCTAGTGTCTTGTTCAAGGAGCTTTCAGATATTTTGGCAAATAGTCCAATGCATTATTGACCATTTAACTTTTTCTACTCTGCTCTGATTATTTAATTGGCATTTTCTGCAACCCTCTTGGTTTGCAAATATATAAATATGCCAGCTTTAGTTTTGTAAATCATGCTTTGGACTGGAAAAAAAGGAAAAGAGAGATTGTAAGCATTTTGACTTAAGTTTGCATGCATTGTAAAGCCCTGTGAAACAAAAATCCTCGTGATCTGGAAAAGACCATTGTTTCCTGTAGAGCATTGTGCTAACCCTGGATTATATACTGAAGGAAGAAAAAAATCAATCTGAGGCATCCTTGAATACAATCTGCTTGTTAATCTGTTTGGAAACTTTTGAATTGATAAAACAGCAGCCACAATAAAGAAGCAATTATTCTCTTTGCTGAGTGTTGGCAGAACCCTAAATGACTTCTCCCTACCCACTCGATATGAAGAAAGGGAATTAGAGCACTGCTTGAAACTGTGGAAGAAATTGTTCTTAATAAGACAGAGAAGTTGTTTCATGGCTGTCCCTTTGAGTGACTCTTGGAAAGATTGGTGTCTCATATTGGTGTACATAGGCACGAAACACACACAAAAAACAGCTTAGCTTGTACACATCTCTTTTGAAAGGTATCTGGACTTTTCTTCATTTCTTTGTTTTTTAACATTTTGCTTCAGTTCACTATTTTAAAAAGTGGATTTATGCTGCTTCAAAAATAAGAATTTCCAGTATCTTCCTTGCCTGGTTAAATCAGTCGGTATGAGATTGAAGAAGCATGTGGTATAGGTAGTTCACAACTTAAGACCACAATTGAGCCCAAAATTTCATTTTGCTAAGCAAGACAGTTGTCTAGTGAGTTTTGCCCCATTTTACGATCTTTCTTGCTACAGTTATTAAGTGAATCATTACAGTTGTTAAGTTAGTAACATGGTTGTCAAGTAAATCTGGCTTCCCCATTGACGCTGCTTGTCAGAAGATTGCAAAAGGTGATCACATGACCCAGGGGCACGGCAACAGTCATAAATATGAGTCAATTACTAAACATCTGAATTTTGATCATGGAACCAAGGGAATGCTGCAACCATCATAAATGTGAAAAATGATCATAAATCACTGTTTTCAATGCCATTGTAACTTTGAATGATCACTAAAGCAATGGTTGTAAATTAAGGGCTACCTATAATTCAAAGAATGAAATACTGTATAGGCCATGGGTTCCCAACCTCTGGGCCTCGACCCATTACCAGACTGTGGCCTATTCAAAATTTGGCTACGCGAGAGTCAGGTCAGTGCGCATACTCGCGCAGCTCCACTCATACGAGCGGCGGGCTGGTTCCCCTCTCCAGGGAACGCCGGGCTGCAAAGGTTGGGTACGCTGGTATAGGCAATATAGCTTGGGAACCCTGGTATAGGCAATTCATTCACAACTAAGACAGCTGATTATGTGAAAGTCAAATTGCTTCTGGTCATTAATTTCATATATCTTGAGACTTGGCTATATACATTGTAGCTATTAGGTGGCATTATATAAGCAGCACTGTTGGTTTGGCCTTTTCACTGCATTTGGAAATTCTGAAACTTTTTACAAAGTTTCATTTTGTTGTTATCAGCCATTTCTACATAGTTGATTTATAGCATCTAACTGAGCAATCCAAACATCATTGTTGCAATATATTAATAATGAAGACTGACTTTCTGGGTGGTTGTCTCCATAAGATGCTATAAATCAGGAACTTGGAAATGGCTAATAGTTGTTGTGAGGATATGTTTGGTTTGTTATGGGAACTTCCTATTCTTTTCCTTTTTGCTTATTCTCCCAGGATGGTAAGTTATTGCTTAGAATGCCAAGCAATGACTATGTCTTGTTATAACAACTCTTACAATTTATAGCTTTGTCACATCTTGAATCTAATTGAATTTGCCTTCAACCCAGTGAATATTATTAAGCAAATGTCCTGGAATATTATGCATTTGAAAAATATAACAGTACACATAACTGCTGATTCTTTCATTCTAAAGGAAAAATGTCAAGAATACAACACAGTGCTGGCTATATTAATATTTGGGGCAGGGATTTTTTTCTTTTGAGCGAATCTAGTAATCCACTTAACCTTTGGGCAATCCACTGATTTACATGCCACCTGATCCCTATGATTAGCAGTGCACCGCTAAATCTCATCTTGTCTACTTTCTTAGGAATTAAAAACCTCTATGTTTATTTATGAACTCAGCGAACATAACCTGCCCTTCTCAGGGAAGCTTCTAACATCATTAGAAGATAAGCAGTAAAATTAGGAAGCTGCTTGAAACTCTTTGATCTGAAAGTGGAGCTATTGAACCTGAGTTATGGCAGTAATATCTCTACCTTTGGAGGAACTTCTGTGCTTTGAAATAGTTCTGGAATGACACAACTTTGTGGTCATTTCCCACACCCATTGTCTACAGCTCAGCTTCCCTTGAGATCATGATATCTCTGAAGTCAAAAACTGATGATTTTAGGCCTGATGACACCCAGTGGTGGGATTCAAATAATTTAACAACCAGTTCTTTGCCCTAATAATTTCTTCCAACAACCAGTTCACCAAACTGCTCAGAAAGTTAACAACCGGTTCTCCCGAAGTGGTGCGAACTGGCTGAATCCCACCACTGATGACACGTCTACCTTTGTCATAGTTCCGCTGCTTCACCAAGCACGGGGTTCATTTCTATGCTCAAAGGCTGCTTCTTCATGGGGGCGGGGGAGAGGGAAGGCTCAGCAAGTTAGCACAAGTGAAAGGAAGTGAAGTGGAAATTCATTTTCTGAGCATGATTGGTGTCAGAACAAGCACTGAACAAATGAATTGGTTTGTGGGAAAAGGATCTCAATAGAGCTCAGTCATATTAAAGTATCAGGAAAAGACTGCTGCTTGCCTCTGCTTTTTAAAAGGCCCCTATTAGAGTTATTGTCAAGTGACAACATTGCTGGCTAGTTTGACAGAATGTGTCCTTTGTGGCTATCTTAAAAACACTTGCTAAAGTAACTCTGTCTCCCTGTGATTGAATTGGGAACTTGAGGCCTGTTTTGAAATCAACAGGTGCAGTCAGCTATTTTTTTTAAGAGCTGATGAAATAAGGGTACAAGGTTCTTGTTTTTAAAGAACACTTGGGCCTCTGTCTTGGTCTGGACTGAGGGACACATGTCTCTGTCCAGGGGTGGGCTGCTGGAGGTTTGCAGGGGTTCGCAAGAACCTCTAGCTAAGATTCTGTGCATTTCGGAGAACCCCAAAATCCCATTCCTGGCTGGCCTCTCCCACTCCGCTGCACCCCTCCCACTCCACCCCACCCCTCCCAGGAGTCCCCACATGGCCCGTTTTGGGTGCAGGGCATATGCGGAAGCTTGGGGAGGGTGAAAAACAGACCTACCAGAAGTTCAAGAAGGCTGAAATGGGCCTGTTTCCAGCCTCCAGAGGACCTCTGGAGCCTGGGGACGCCGTTTTCACCCTCCCGGAGGCTTGAAGAAAGCCTCCGGAGCCCAGGGAGGGCAAAAATGCCCCCCTTTCTGCCGTGGTGCAGGAGACCAACAAGGCCATGCCCACCATGGCCATGCCCACCCAGCAACCAGGCAGAGAACCTCTTGCTAAAATTTTTGAAGCCCACCCGTCTCTGTTCCTTCTTATACCATTGAGCTTGCTAAGAGCCATGCTGCATGTGCTCGGCAAGGCTGTCTTTTTAATATATATAAACTGAGCATGGGAATCTCAATCCAATAACTGGATCATCAGTATAGGTAATAAGGACCTCTTTCAGGTGCTTCCAGTCAGAATGGGATCTCTTTCTTTCTGCTATTTTCTTTGTCCCAGAAATAAATTGCACCTCTTTTGGCAATGGGGATTACTAATTCAAATGGAGTACAATAGCAATACTTCTTTTTTTCATTTTCCTCCCCAAAATAAATTTATTCCTTTCTTTACTGTATTACAGTTCCTTCCTTTTGGGGTTTGGTGAATTCAGCTTGGAATCTTTGCTCCGTTGGAAAACGGCAATCACCGGTCAATATAGAAACCAGCCATATGATCTTTGACCCCTTCCTTACCCCACTTCGGATAAACACAGGGGGTAGAAAGGTAAGGCTGTGCTTGTACTTTTAATTGTCAAAATAACAGGTAAATTTTTAACCTTTCTTTTCCTTCCTTCCTTCCTTCCTTCCTTCCTTCCTTCCTTCCTTCCTTCCTTGATATTCATTTTGTGTTTGTGCTGTCCTTGTGTGCTCTCTCTCTCTCTCCCTCCCTCCCTCCCTCCCTCCATATATACACACATACATACATATGTGTGTATATATATGTGTTTGGGTGTAATTGTTATTAAGGATTTTTTAAAGGATTTTTTAAAAAGAAGATTAAAACGAATACAAAGTAATACTTAGATCTATACTTCTGCTACTATTTAAATGATGCTTCAGTTGTCAAAACCAGCAAGACATTCATTTTCATCACAGAAATTCTCTCCCCAACAATGACAGTTTTAAATTCTTTCATTTTAAAATATATATTTTAACTTCATTCTATATCCTAACATAGTTATTTTGAAATAACATACAGTTCGTATTTGTCATACCCAGATATTTTATCTTCTTCTCAATCTTAAATCCCCATTTATTCATCAATTCTGTTTGTTTCTGTGTTCATATTTTTGTTAACATCTTCGTTCTCTGTTTAATAATTTTGAAATGCACCAAATTCTTTTCATTTTCCTATTAATATTTTAATTCCCCTTAAAAGAAACTTTCAGAACCAACATCAAGTCATCTGCAAAAGCCCTTAACTCATAAGTTTCTTTTTTAATGTTTATTTCCACAATCTTCTCATCTACTTGTATTATTTCAAGAACTAGAATAACAAGAGAGGAATGGGCATCCCTGTCTTATTTCTCTTTGTATCTCCCAATGTTTTCTTAGATCTCCATTAATAATTATTTGTGATTTCTATATATCTATAGAAATAGATTCTTAACCATTTCTATAAAGTGGTTAAGATCAATACCACTTTATAAAGTCTCTACAGAATTCCCATTTTCCAAAACCTTGAACAGGAAAGCCCAGTTAAAGATTTCCAAAGACCTTCTCTGCATCTAAGAAAATTAACGTGGCTTTGTTTTTCATTACATTGCTCCAAATATTCCAAAATGTCCATACATTTCTAACATGGTGCTTTAACTTTTTTTAAGTAAAAAAATCACATTGATTCTCATTAATGAATTCTTGCAAAATTGTTTTCATTCAATCAGCCAGTATCATTGTTTGAAACAAGGTTTATTTATTTAATAATAATAATGGTAAATGGAATGGAATGGAATGGAATGGATTGGATTGGAATGGAATGGAATGGAATGGAATGGAATGGAATGGAATGGAGAAGAGAAGAGAAGAGAAGAGAAGAGAAGAGAAGAGAAGAGAAGAGAAGAGAAGAGAAGAGAAGAGAAGAGAAGAGAAGAGAAGAGAAGAGAATAAACAGTTGGTAGGGACTGTGGGAGTCTTCTAGTCCAACTCTCTGTTCAATCAGGAAACCCTATACCATTTCAGATAAATGGTTGTCCGATCGCTTCTTAAAAACCTCCAGTGTTGGAGCATTCACAACTTCTGGAGGCAATTTGTCCCGCTGATTAATTGTTCTAACTGTCAAGAAATTTCTCCTTAGTTCTAGATTGCTTCTCTCCTTGATTAGTTTCCATCCATTGTTCTACCCTCAGGTGCTTTGGAGAATAGATTGACTCCCTCTTCTTTGTGGCAACTCCTTAGATATTGGAACACTGCTAACATGTCACCCCTAGTCCTTCTTTGCATTAAACTAAACATATCCAATTGCAGCAACCATTCTTTATGTATTTTAGCCTCCAGTCCCCTAATCATCTTTGTTGCTCTTCTCTGCACTCTTTCTAGAATCTCAACATCTTTTTTAAATCGTGATGACCAAAACTGGATGCAATATTCCAAGTGCTTATCAAGGCATTATACAGTGATATTAATACTTCGTGTGATCAGTGTTCATGCATAGTTAGTTTCTTGTTAAAAAAAATCTTGACCCTTTTTTTGGCATTAATGCTATATTGGCCATTTTCAACTCTCTAGCATCTTTCTTCCCAGTGTGATAGAGTTCATCCTGTTTTGTAAAAGTCATAAAAGTTCATGCTCAAAACATTTATAATAAAAACATGATAATCCATCCGGTCCAGGTACCTTTCCTAGTTTAATCTTTCTATAGTTTCACATACTATCCTCGTTACAGATTCATTCATAATCTGTCTCTGTTCTTCTGTAATCCTCAGTAAAGGGATTTATTTCTTTAGATATTCATCTATTTTCTCAAGAGAGATGTCACTTTCTTTATGCAAATTGGAATAATATTATATGGGTAATCCTTGATTTACAACCATTCATTTAATCACCATTCAAAATTACAATAGCAGTGAAAAAAAGTAATTTGTGGTTGTTTTTCACCACTGACGACTGTTGCAGCATCCTCATGGTCACGCAATCAAAATTCAGGGGCTTGTCATGTATTTATGATGGTTGCAGCATCCTGGGGTCATGCGACCACCGTTTGTAACCTTCCCACTCAACTTCCAACAAGCAAAGTCAATGGAGGAAGCCAGATTATCTTAACCATTGCAAGATTCACTTAATAACCATTAATTTGCTTAACAATCGTGGCAAAAAAGATCATAAAATGGAACACAACTCACTTAGCAACTTTCTTGCTCAGCAACAGAAATTTTGGGCTCAATTGTGGTTGCAAGTCAAGAACTACCTGTACATATAATTTTTATGAATACCTTCAAACAAGAAGATAAAAGCTAACAGAAACTAGTAGAAATTAAGGGGGGAAAGAAAGAAATCAAAGGAAAAGGTGAAAAAAGGAAAAAAGTTAAATGAAAAATTGAAAAAGAAAATATTAAGAAGTGGCTTCCAATATTCTTCACAGCAGTTATAATTACGAATATATTTTAATCTTTGTCTCTAAAGTTACATTATATTATCTTCTTTCTATAATCTATTCTATCTCATTATCAAAAGTGTAAATCACAAGTTCATTTCCATTTTTACACAAAAAATCCATAAGAGGCTTCCAATCAGCAATAAATGTAGATAATGTCTATTCTGTAATCAAAGAAGTTAATTTATCCATTTCAGCAAAACCTTTCAATTTCACCTACCATTCCTCCATAGTGAGTGGTATTGAATCTTTTCATCTTTATGCGTACAGTAATCTTGCTGACATGATCATATATTGAAATAATCTTCCATAGCTTTTTCATAACTGTTAGAAATTGAATAATATTAATGAACTGCTTCTTGTATGGCTGCATTGTCCATTAATACTATATCTCCCTCTTATATTTCTATATCATTTTCTCTTCCTTTTCTTTTTGTAATTTATATGATAGCCAATTCCTTGATTTATTTGCAAAGTCAATCTTTTTTGCTCTACATAATACATTTTTATTTTCATTTCTTATTAACATAGGTAATTGTTGTTTTAAAAAAGCTTAATTTATTAAGAAATACTTCTCTAGAAATTCCTTTAATTCTTAGTTTCTCTATCTCATCCACAACTGCTGGTGTTTCGCTTGACTGTTCTTTCTAAGTTCACTACTGGGTTGTATAAAACAAACTTTAATAAAGGCTTTACATTTCAAATCATTTTTAAATCAGTAAAAGGTAAAGGATTCTCTGCCGATTTAATCTGCTAGTCATTGCCAACTATAGGGGGCAGTGCTCATCTCCACATCAAGGCCAACCCTGTCTGAAGACATTTCCGCGGTCATCTGACCAGCTGTTATCTTCCCACCAAAGTGGTACCTATTTATCTGCTTGTATTTGCATGCTTTTGGACTTGGCAGGAGTTGGGGAGGTTGGGGAGAGGATGGGAACTCAACTTGTTGCATGGTGCACGGGTATGAAACCTGGGCTGCTGGCTTTCCAGTCAACAGCCCAGCATCTTAACTACTTTCCAGCCGAAAGCCCAGCATCTTAACCACTGAGCTGCTGTGCTGCCCCTTTTAAATCAGTACCTTTACCTAAATCATTTTTTAAAAGTTCTTTTAATTTCTGTTTACAATTCTCCTCTATTGTTTCTTTCTGTAGCAATATTTTGTTTAGCCTCCATGAAAAAGCATCCACTTTTCTTTTTCTAAACCAAAACTCACAGACTAGTGATCCAAAAAAGTGTTTTGTATTATCTCTGTTTAAGAAATTTTAGCCAAGTTATTTGAAATACAAATCGTGTCTATTATAGAACAAGATACACCACAAATTCCACTTGAAAATGATATGAATGAAGTCTAGATGAGAACCTGCCATTAGATGCAAAGAAATATAAATATACGTACATATATACACATATATTCTTAAAAATTCAGAATTTGAATTCTTAAAAATTAAGAACAGAAATAAAAAATAAATCCAGAGAATAATGAGAATAATTCTATTTTTGGGGGGGATTTACAAAAGAGACTGTTTAAAGTATGAAAGAAAATTATAACCCAGATCAATAGTAGTGGAGTGGATCACCAACTAAGCTGATTTTTTTTTTAAGGAATGATAAAATTGACTGTTTTTTATCTTGGTTAAGATGGGATGTGTTATTCTGTGTGATTCTTTTTGGATTTATGATATTTTGAGTGGAGAAATGTGACATATTGGATTTCCTTATTTAACGTTTAAGCATTAGCATCTTATTGTGTGATTATTTTTTGTTTTGAAACTATCCCTGTTAGGTTAAGTTTTAGTCATTTTATGTTAAATTGTTAGGATTATTTTATTTTTATGACCAGTTTTAAGCTGAGATGTGAAATATTTATTTGAATTGAATATATTCCTATTTGGGATAGTTATCTCTGGAATAGTTGGTGTTTGGGATGGGTTGAGTATTAGAATTTGTCCTTTTTAAAAAAGAGAAATGTCTGTTATGTTAATCTTTGGTTTGGTTTGTTTATAGAATGGGAGCTTTTTATGCCTTTTATATGGGGTTTTGCCTATGACTGAAAGTCTAGATCAGAAAAGTTATGAATGTAAATGAAGCTGATGGAATCCACCAATCAGTTCCCTTGACTTCTACATTAATATAAT